TAAGGAATTGGATCAGCTAGAGACAGCTGTTTGCCTGTGCATAGGAGTTGTGAATGCAAATCTCTGGCTAACCTACACATAGCTCATTTGCAAGACATCAGTCTCACTCATTTAACTTCAGACATCTACAGTGTAACTGTTTACATCCATGCCAGTCATCCTGATTTTTTTTTATGTGGAGAAAGAGTCATCTCCTGAGAATGATTCATCTGGCCTATTTCAGAAACCACCTTAGCACGAAATGAACTGCAAAACAAGCTTAGATGATTAGCTTGGGAGCTGAAGTTTACATTGAAGGCATCTTAAGTTATGTCAGATTAATCCTGCCAAAGTGATTTTGCAACGTTTAATTTTTAGTCAAATCTGATGTTTTACTTCTGTTCTTTCTACAGCCGCTAGACTTTGAAACAAAAAAGGCCTACACCTTTAAAGTAGAGGCCTCCAATCTCCATCTTGACCATCGATTTCACTCAGTGGGTCCATTCAAAGATACTGCCACTGTGAAGATAAATGTGTTGGACATGGATGAACCTCCAGTTTTCAGCAAGCCTATGTACACAATGGAGGTTTATGAGGATACGCCTGTGGGGACCATTATAGGTGCAGTGACAGCACAAGACCTCGATGCTGGCAGCAGCTCTGTTAGGTAAGAAAGCTTTTCCTCCTTCAATAGCTCTCAGACAACCCGAAGTCCTGCTGACAGTGAGACTTGGCAGCAAAGAGCTTAGTAAGAAGACATAAAGTGTTCCAAGTCTGTCACTGTAAGAGATAACTGCTGCTCTGAAAAATATTGAAAAGAGATGCTGGTTTGGGTGGGTTATCTGGAAAAACACACTAAGTGCTGACAGCTTCTTATCATATAAGTTACCATGCACTGACACGACTTCAGACCTGGTGTGCTCAGACTAAGGCAGTAGCAACGTTGTTTTGCCTGGTGGCTGGGGCTTCCACAAAAGCATCTCTGAAGTACAGTAGTGAAAAAGGAGACTGTACATGCTATGTCTGTGTTATACCTCAATGGGTGACTGCGAGTACTTCCCCTTTCACAAGAGCCACTCACTCTTTACATCTGGCAAAGAACAAACGGTTTGATGAATAATTGCTACATCTGTCTTGGCTAAGGCTGTGGGGACGTGATTGCTGACCGACATGACTGTGCTCAGCAGACTTCTGTACAAGCAAACGGCTGCCAGCAAAACCTCTCATTTACTGGTATAGCTCATTTTCCTGAAATAAAAGGGAGAGGGGAGCTGTTATACAAATGCAATATATTGATTTTGCTGATGTATTTCCAGCCACATTAGAAAATATAAAGTGAACCAGGCTCATGTACCAATAAGGGAGCTCCAGTGCAGACAGAGTCTAAGATATGGGTAGTCATTATACATACTTCCAGTACCAATTCATGCTGGACATACCTCACTTCAGGAAATGTTTTTATTCCCAGACCTTCATGAGCAATAGTGCAGATATAATGGAAGTCATCAATCTTAAAATATTAATGTTTATCAAATGGAACTATGATGGAACAGGAAAATGCCACTAGTGTCTACCAAGTGCACACACATTCATCCATATTTGACTATAAATTTAATTTGGACATTTTAATCCACGCTTATTAACTACATTTATTTTGACTCAGTTCTTATATTTTCAAAATGTACAATAAACATGCTAGATGATATGTTACAATCATATGCAAAAAAAAACAAGCAACAGTGAGTGTTTAGCTCCCGCTTCATCAATTTACTGTTATTTCTTAAAACTATTACTAATATTTGTTTCACTCCTCTTTTTTTTTTTTTTTTTTTTTTTTTTAAATACACTCTTCATTCTTTTCTAACACAGAAATGTATTTATTCATGAATCTGTGACACATTCCTTCCCTGGAAAAAGATCTAAACCTTCACTCATAAAGACTGAAGTGGGAACATTTTCCCTGGTGGTAGCCTATGAAAATAACCCAGCTGAAGTCAATATTCTGTTGAAAACCATACTCTCTTGCAACCAGATAGCAAGCCTTTAATCATATTGTCTGGTAGTTTTTCATATGACAGCAGAATCATTTGAATGTATAACCACTCCTCAGTGAGAGTTTTTTATTTAACAAATCCTCCTAGGAGACTCAAGTGCTTTAGTTACTGCTCCTACGTTTGCAACTACATAGAAAAAATCATCGTCTCAAAATGGTTTCTCCATACACTTTGCTCATTATTAAAGTGAATCCTAAGCCATTTTAAAGTGTACATGTCTACCTTTTCTAACTCTTAAATTGTTACTTGTGTGTCCATCTACAGTTAAAAGATCAAGAATATTAAAAAATATCCTTGCATTTTAGTCTCACTGCTCTACTTGCCCACTCCTTATACCAAGAAACTACAGAAGTGCTCCCAGAGCCACTTTTTATGAACCAATTCAGCTGGTTTATGCCCAGGGAAAAACATGAACTGTGTCCCAGTGTAACCAAGTTCTTGGAGTAACCCATTCCTACCCAGAAGTATACTATACATCGAATTTAGTGGACTCTGGAGGGAGATATTTTGCTTTAAGGAGAGGGATGTGTTCCAGTAAACCTGTTGACAGGCTGAAAAGGTTAAGCTGGAAACCTCTCCATGCAGCTCTCTTCCAGCTTTATAAGATCACTTATTTCTATCATTTTCATGTGTCAGTCCTGAAATCTCTTCCTTTGCTCTCATTTACATGAGGATATGTTTGATTCTTTGTATTCAACTTGATCTCCAGCTCTTTGAATTTAATGATAAGTAATTATCATTAGTAATTTATCAGAGCTCTGAACATGCTCTTATTCTCTGGAAGAACCTACCTGTATCCAAATGCTGACTAGTCCAAGCAGAAAAAGAAATTATATGCAAATGTTAGTTACTGATGTATTAGTGTTCAATATTCGATAAGTTTTATATCCTTTAACTGAAAAACGTACATGATCAGAAGTTAGAAAAGCATAAATTAGTTTGAAAGAGTTGCATGTATTTACAACTTCTTAATGTGTCTTAGCCAATTATGTTCTCTCAGCTGTTTAAAATCTAGTTTGTATCATAGATGTAAAGAATGGCTTCATTAATTTAATCATATTTTAAAGAAGGAATCAATGCATCTTCTGAGTAAATATTCAAACATGCCCTCTAAACAAACATGGAAAAGCAATTAATGTTCTTTGAGGTAACAGCCCATAGAATTTGCTGGGTGGCACGGTTTCTCTACAAATCCATTCGTTTTCTCTGAAATGTTTTCCTAGAGCAGTGTGGCCATTAAGATGCCCATTACAACAACAAAATCAACAATCTGCCAAACAATAGAGACTGGGATAAAGGACCAATCTGCGCTGTATGCAACAGAAGGCAAAACTCTGGAGAACAAAGCAGGCTAGAACAGCTCACATGAAAGGAAGCAGCACTAGTCACAGCAACTAAATCCCTGTTATCAAACAAAAACTTCAGCTCTGTTATGCTAGACACCTCAGGAAGGGGGAGATAACAGCTAAGAATGAAGACTGGATTCAGTTGTTAGAAAAAGGATTTTGCTGCCAAAAAAAAATATTTTGTTTGAAGTCATTGAAAATGTTGAGGTTTACATTATTTTTCTCTTTTCTCCTGTTACTGGAATCAAGTTTTTGGACAAGTCAGGAATTCTAAAGGTTTGTTTTGAGAGATTATGTTTGTTAGAGATGTTGAAATGAAAGGGCACAGAGCACACATTCAGTAAGAAACAGGAAATTAAGCACAAGGAGAAAAGAGGCTGAAGGTATTCAACACCTGCAAGGGTGATCGGCTTTGTAGCTGTTTTGGAACATTACCCCAGTGCACCTGCTTTTCAAACTGTGTTAAATCTGGAGTTTACGTGTCTCAGGAGAGCTATTTTGTCTATTCCCATTTTGTCCATAGTGCTGTAAGAAATGCTCGGCATAAATGTTAAGATGAATTCCTACGTACTTTGTGGCCATTAAAAATCCCAAAGCACTTCTGAAAAGAACAATGATCTCATGTTCTTCTCAGAGTCCTCTAGTTTACAATGGTTACAAGCCGTCTGGGAGGGAAGAAAAAGCATCTTTGTTGTAGTGTATTACAACATATGTAATTTGTAAATATCCAAATGTTTTCAGTAAAGATCCTTGTAATTCTGGTAAAAGGAATTTTAAGACTTCTGAAAAATCACATCTGTATGTTTCCATACAGCATGAATGTTATAGACAGGGCTGTCTAAAGAAAAAGAAAGTGCAAATGGATGGCGAGACTGAATTATCTGCAATACTTTCTGTAATAGTGAACTTTATCTAACAGTGTGTGTGAAGTTCAACCACTTTGCACTGAGACCTTTGAAGCTGTCAGATTTCCTTGGAGATGATCTTCTGGCATAAAGCATGAAAGGGTATCTGCTCCTGATGTGAACCTCAGATATGACTCCAATTACAATGAGTTTCACATTCTGTGCCACAGCACTGCTCTTCAGATCTTCTCTGCTTGACTCAAGAGTTTTGCCTTATGAACTGCAAGAACCACCCAGAGCAGGAAAGCTATGGGGACTGTGCATTTTCCTCTCCAAGTCCAGAGTCATGAAACTGTGACATTAAAGAAAGAAAAAAGTCATGTGTACTATTCACAGGCCAATCCTGCCCTCAGTATCTTGGGGACAAGACTGTATTCCCTGCATGTACTTCCAGAGGAAAGGCCTTATTTATTCTCTGAGCTAGTTCACAGTGATATAGAAACTTTTATAGATAGGTTCTGTTTTCCCAGTGCAATACTTTGTCAAGTAAAGATCAAGAAAATATAAATAGTAGGTTTCTTCCTGAATCCTTAAACACTTTATCTTAACGTACAAGCACAAACAAGATTAGTTAAAGCTACGTATGTAACAGGAAAGTGCTTGACCTTCCAATCACATAATTCTTTTTTTCTGTGTACTCTTTTTGAATTTGCTTTTTCTTCAGAAAGAATAATTCCATCCTATGACATCAAAATGTGTCTTATAGTTACATACAAACATAGAAAGACTGAGACATCTATTTCCAGCACCTCATGCCTCTTCATTTAATAATAACAGATTAAGTCATAGCTATTTTTCTGTGTATAGCATCACACTGGAGGGGAACAAGATGCTTTGCCAGTTGGTTTTGCACAAATGAAAAATAGTAGGTCCCAGGAATTTTCATTCCTTTTTAGCTGCTCTGGTTAGTTTTGCACACTTCTTGCCCTGTTATCTTTTGTCTGTTTCTGTCGCAATTTTAGCCCTACTCCATCCCTTGCCTTTTACTGAAGTCTCAGCCTCTTCAACCATTTTTAAGACCTCTAATCCAAGTTCTAATTTATTCACGCTAACCACTTCAACCTCCCAGTTCCTGCTGCAGATCTCTTGCTACCTTTTTCAGTCCTCCTGACTGCTGCTTTCTTACGTCTCCTATGCTCTGGCAGTGTAATATCAGTCTCCTTTTCACAGTCCATCATTCTTTCTCCCACAGATGGTTTCTGCCTTTTTCCTCCTGAACCACATCCCATTAGTTTCATTGGCATCCCACTCTACTGCCTTCCTTTCTTCTGCTGCTGGCAGACGTCTTTTTTGTTCTCAGTGAATTGATGTATTTTTTTCTCTTTGTTCCAGTTACTTTGATCTTCTTTCTAGAACTATAGAAACTGGGTTTCTATCCCAACATTTTCTCTGAATCCCAAGGGGTATATTTGGCTGACATATCTGTTTTTTCCTCATCAGCCTCCCTAATTTCCAGTCTCATTAGGCTCAGTGAGCACTCAGCTGCCATATACACAACAGCATCCCATCTATCTACCTTCCAGCAATGCTGGAAATGATATAGGGCTCCTACTTCCTTCTCCTGTTTCTCCTCAACTTTCTGATTCTTCCTCTGTTTTCTTCTCTGGCTCCTATAATTTGTCTTCATGACCTCAGGCAATCATATCCTCCACTCCATCGCCCTCTTCTTGTAGAGTTTCTCCCCATACAATCCCATGTACTGCTCTGCCGTTCTCTATGTTTGAATGAGCTGTCTTCCTCCTCAGCAACTGGGTGGCTTAAAGGGACTGAACAGAAAGGTGACTTCTCTTCAAACACAAGGGGGAAATATCTACCTCTCTGTGTATAAACTCTTTCAAAAGAAACTGGGTTTTTTTGCTGCTCAATGAATTCCTACTCTTCAGCAGAGTCACAGCAATGAACTGTATCTCTGCTTTACCTTTACCACGAAGCAAGATAGGTATAATAAATTATTATGGCAATATCCTTCATGGTAGTTTAAATTACTATGTTCTATTTCACATTTGCAATGGATTAGTTGCACACAAGCAGACAAGCACGTTCAGTTGACAAGTGACTCAGTTGTATTAATCCAAGGACTGTGGTACCTTGGTTTCAGTGATCGGCTGGGAGCTACTACAATAGCCACTACAAAAAAAAAAAACCCACAGATTTGTTTTAACCTTAATCTTAAATCTATAGACTTAAGACTGAAGAGATCACCCACCGTTTTTTGGTGGAGAAGGTAAACACACTGTCACTCATTAGCCCTCTGTGATGCTGCAGCATGTTCACTGGAAACAGCCAGAGACTTGAGCTGAAAAACCGTTGTTTGTCATTTTGAAGCACATGCAGACTGACTTTTTGATCTATGTGGGTTTTCACAGGACTGGCAGGAACATGAAGCAAAGGCGAGTACTTTCTGGCACAAGTCAGAAAGCCTGCACAAGAGGAAAGTCAGACCTTCCCAAATAAAAGATTGCTAGGATTCATTTGACATTCATAAATTTTCCTAGACGGACTCCTGGAAGCATTTGCAGCATGAAATATTACATCCTAAGTCCAGCAAGTCAAAAGAAACTGAAAACAAAGTTTAAAACTGAGAGAGGCCAGTAGCCTTTATTTGCAGTCAGTAATTCATCAATTTACTGAAGCTTGTGAAAAACAGCAAGTGATCTTCAGTAGGCATATGCAATCATATTAAGCTATAAAATGCCAGTCAGGAGTTTAGAACTAAAAGTATGTGTGGATCCCAGAAGTTTACAGACTGCTTTCAGTGAATGACCTGTTTGTGAGGCAAGTGATTGCTGAAAATCAAGAAGTGTGCATTCATCTCCAAGGCAGAAAAGAACAACTTGGCAGGGAAAGCTTTTAAATTAATTGAGAAAAGCTAAGAAGCCAGAGTGAGGGGAAAGGAACAATATGACCATAATAGTTCTGGTTTACTTCACAACACTTGCACCACCTGGTGATGTGATTTTACAAAGCCTGTTCGCATCGCAGTGGCACACACAGTAATTTTACTTTGGCTGAAATAATAGTCTTCCTGATTTTTGATCAAGGGGTCTTATTCCAAGTTTCTCCAGCAATGGAGTTCTCAAGCATTCTAGAAAGCAATTGTGAGATTAAAACAGAGATTTAATGGCTGCAGTCATATCACCTCAAGCTGTGAACCTCTCAGGGTTTGACACTGAGAATTACGAAAGGTCGAGACTTAAAACAATATCTAAGAAAAACTTACGTGCTACCAGAAAGCATGTTAGTTGGTTATTCTGCACAGTGAAAGTCAAACCTGAAACCACCTTCCTAGTATAAAATCAAGCTTCTTAACATTTTTAATTAAAGATGTTATGTCCCTTTCCAGAGGAATAACTATTTTAACCATTCCAACCTAGTCAGATTTCAGGTTCTTTCAATTGGAATTTCTCCTTTAGGTCTGTTTGTAAACATTAGCTTTGCTTTCCTGTACAAAATGCTCAAGTTTATTATTATGTTTAAATAATTATTTCATATAGTGTTTCACATATATTTGTTAATTTGTTTTTTTGCCTGCAGGCTTGTTAATGAAGTTTAAGTAACAGGGGTTTTGAGAATTATACACTTTTGGGAATCCATGTGTTTGGAAGTTTCAGTCACATCTGACTGTAGATGCAGACAGATCTCAAATACTTCTGCTTTTACTGTGTCCAATTCTGGGCTCTCCAGTACAAGAGAGAGACGAACATACTGGAAAGAGTCCAGCAAAGGGTCACAAAGATGATGAAGGAACTGGAGTATCTCTTCTATGAGGAAAGGCTGAAAGAGCTGGGAATGTTCAGTGTGAAGAAGAAAAGGTTCAGGGGGGTCTTATCAAAGCATATAAATACCTGAAGGGAGGGTGCAAAGAGGGTGCGAATAGGATGGAGCCAGGGTCTTTTCAGTGGTGCCCAGTAACAGGACCAGAGGCAATGGGCATAAACTGGAGAGTTCCCTCTGAACATCAGAAAACACTTTATCGCTATGAAGGTGACTGAGCACTGGCACAGGTTGCCCAGAGAGGTGGTGGAGTCTCCCTCCACAGAGATATTAAAAAAAACATCTAGACATGGTTCTGGGCCACTGGCTCTAGTTGGCCCTGCTTGAGCAGGGGCCTTGGCTCAGATGAGCTCCTGAGGTCCTTTCCAATGTCACCCCTTCTGTGATTCTGCAACTTCCATCCTTTCTAAGCTGGAGAGTGTGGCAAAAAATGGCACAGGATCATCTAAGATGGCTGGTTGTGAAGAGGAGCAAAGATAATCCAAACACCATGCTGAGGTTCAGTATGTGCAAACACAAAAGAAAATTAAAAAGACTGCTGTCACCATTCATGTAAATAAGTTGTCTACGGATTGATAATAACAGATTAATTTAGGCAGTAAATATGAAAATAGTGTGAAGAAAACACAGTGCAGATATTCCAGCTTGGGTAGGAGGAGAGAACTGATTTTAGAAGCAAATGATGGGACCTGGCTTGGCTCAGGTCAGACATCGATGTGCATGGGGGAGCAAGGAGATGTTTATCCAGCAACTTTTGCCTGAGGTCCTCATGAAATTCGTAAAACTTTTGAAAAGTTTACTCCATACTTATATTGATTGTTGCAGATTCTGGGTTCCTTTGTACATGCAGAGGATTGGGGAGGAGAAACGAAAAAGGAAAATTCAGCAGCTCCTGCAGTGTCAGAGCTGTCCTGAACAGTCTCTTATTTTATGAGCGCTTCACCAAAACAGCTTCAAAGCAACAATGCAGCCTCCAATTCCTGACTTCACTGAGTGTTTCCTCTTGCAGAGCCAGCTGACAATCCAAGTGAGTCCCAGCTGAGGATCTAAGCAAGTGTTAAATCCCCTACTGTGTGCTGCAGTTTTCTCTAGAATCAGCATGATTGCTGTTATTTGCTTTTTCTTTGATTGTCTCAGCATCAGCATTTTACTTCAGCTTTTTTTCTGGAGAAAAATATGAGAAATTTGTTCAGATTTTATTATTCTAAAGATATAGAACAGAGCTAATATTTATGTGATGCAAAAGTAAAACAATCAAAAATTATTCCTGTTGAATTTATACCACTTGTCTTGCTCTCCTCTAGAGCAGCTGTGCTACTTGTTTCCTTAGTGCTTTATGAGAAGACAAAACATTTCAGTCTAGGAATGGGAACAGAGGCCCGGGAAGCATCTCTGTCTTATCTCATGGTGTTTAGGTCACGTGTACCCAAGTAGAAAATAACATTTCAACTTCTGCTGAGGCTGAATATCTGATGGAGTCATTACATCTCTTTTCTTCCTCTCAGCTTTCTTAAGGGTAGAAGGGTCCACTCAGACTCATTTGCTCCCTGTCTTTCTATACTAACTCTGCCCATTGACAGAGATACTAATACACATCCAGATGCCCATCCCAGCATATCCTTTCCCCACCTAAAACCAGCAAAGCAGGAGCCCGCTCTCCTTTTCACCAGATGTGGGATGTACCCTCCAGTGCCTGGGTGCCTTGGTGAACAAACGAGGGTGGTAGGTCCTTTGTGCCGTGGACAGGATCAAAGCAGAAAGAACAGAGCATGGCAGCAGAGCAGAGGGAAAATGTACACCTTTCAAGATCAGGATGAAATGATGTTCAGCACCTGTAATTTGTGGTGTTGGTAGAGAAAGTGCTCTACTTTTCCACCATAGCAATATTGACTGCTAAGCCGGGAGTGAGGGGGTTAAATTCAACAGTGCCTTCTACTGCTGCTCACAGTCCAAACAACTGAGACTTAATTAAACTACAGGACAAAGCTTTCCCTCTGCTTGGCTGTCTTGCAGTTCTGCCTGCTCAATGAGGCAGGAAAAATGATGTTAAAACTGAATAAAAACAATGCATTTTCCAAATGACAGCAGCTTTTGATAAGATGCTCAGTTGGTAATGAGAAATGCAGAGCAGACAATGGAGCTGACTGAAAGGTTTGATAAGCAAAATAACAAAACCTCAAAAGGGAGAGGGAGGAGGAAGCACAGGAATTTGTAGACAGACAGAAGTGGCAGTTTGGAAGGGCTGATAACTGAGCTGCAGCATATTTTATTTCCTATATTGCCTAGCGTGTTTTACTAAAATTCTTATGTAAGATTTATAAGGCTTATGAAAAGTTTAACAGCTTCCGTCGCTTGACTCTGACCCATCGTTAGAGTCTGGCTGTCTGAGCCACTGCTTCCCTGTCAATTAATTCTGCATAACGATCGATTTTCTCCAAAGAGGCGAAGTATAATTTGTTTGCACTGATATTACTCATTCCAGATCAGGTAAGCTACAGACTGCTAAAATCAGTAATCCTTCACCCTCCTGATTAAAAACACAGAAGTATGCAGCTATGCATGAAGGACTGTGAACCCAGTCGTGTAATATGCAGAAGACTCAAACTGTGATGTTTTTTTATGTGGAAGATCATGTGTTAGGCATGGAACGTTCTGAGAAGAAGTGTTTTCTCCTTCTCCCAGAGTGTAACAATTCCATCTGTACTTCTGTAAAGTATCACTGCCTGATGTGCAGTATAGATAAGATTCATTCTGGGAAGCTGGAGTGCAGCTCACAGCATATCAGTCTGAGACATTATACTGGTGAACTTCTTTGGAAAATGGGACAAAGGAGTACAACAACTTACTTGGACTTCTATCAAAATAATCCAAAAATTCTCTGCTTTTTAAGCCAAAATATTTTGACTAATACAAAGCTATCCATCCACTAAAAAACTAGATACATTACTTCAGTGAGATGTTCAAAAACACTCAGCTTGGACTATTGCTACATCTTTACATCAGTGCCAAGTACCTTCGAAAATCTCTACAAAATCATAAAGAAATATGGCATTTTGAGTGTAATGATCAAAGAAAAGTAATGGTAAAACTGTCAGAAATATTTTAATGTGTCAGTAAATTAGGGGATGTATTGATTTTTAGGTGTGGCTAGTGTGATGTGGTATAATATTAGAGACAATTCTGACACTTACATAGCATCGCCTGCACGAGCATCTCTAGTTTTTGCTACCTGTTAACAAAGGAATGCCACTAAGATCTTTTGCTGATGCTCATATTGTTTTTCTGTTGTTATATGGCAGTAAAGGCACTTAAAGCTAGTTAAACCAACTACATTGGCTGCTCATTTTTTGGTTGCATCTGACTATGCAACCTTGAGATGCTCATTTCAAAGCGTCACCCATGAGAGGGTGATCAGCACCAGTTCTGCAATGGCAACTGTCCATTAACCCAATTTGAGAAACGGGTTAGGTTAGAAACCAGCTGAAATCAAACTACTTCTTTACAAACTGGCCCATTTAATTTTGAAAGGAAATCACAGTTGGGAGAACTGTAGGACTAATATTGATTAGAATCGGGAGGGAGGTGAAAGTAGGAGACAACCACTTAACCTGGAACAGCAGCAGATGCCCATCTGTGACTGTGTCTGACCGGGCACTTAGGAGAGATGTTAAGATTTAATGGTAATACTTAGAAACTACTGAGTGGTGGCACTGGTTCCTTTTCATATTTCAGCTTGAGTTTGTTTTTTTTGTTTGTTAGGGTTTTTTGTTTGTTTCTTTCTTTCTTCATGCCTAGTACATGTCCTGGAAAAAAACCAAATAAGCACTGAGATTATTATATACCTGCATGTATAGGGCTCTTACAGGATCCAGCTGGTATCCATGGGATTACCCAAAGGATAAAATCTGACAGCAAACCATCTAAGGTATTCTTTTTTTGACCTCTAACACCTCAGCAGTGTTCTGAAGATATTCAGTAAAGGTACAGAAAGCTTCTGCTCCCATTCAGGGAAATGGCTAAATAAATTATTTAAACATATAAACAAAAAAAGGCAGAGCAGCATCTGTCACTTTGGAACATTACCACTTACTTTACATTTTTTGGTTAAGGACAGGAGAATTTTACAGGAAAACTTCAGAGGTTATTTTGCTGTTATTACCATTAGATTTTTCTAACTTTTACTACAAATATATCAGATCATATTTTTATATGAGAGTAGATAAGTTTGACTGGATTTACTTCCTCTAAGCAGAATATCACAGTATTAAAACCACGGTATTAAAACTAGGAGTTCTGCACAAGAGAGCTGCTGTTTCTTTTCATTAAGAAATTTATTTTTTATATTAACAGAGTTTTATTCAAGAAAAAGTATTTTTATTTTATTGCATATATTGTCCTGGGTTTTAATTGTATTTTATTTCAATTATTAAATTGTTCTTATCTCAACCTACGAGTCCTCTTCCCTTTACCCCTTTGATTCTCTCTTCCATCCCTGGGGGCAGGGTAGGGCGAGAGACCAGCTGTGTTATGTTTAGTGGCTGGTCAGTTGTGAAACCTCGTGAGAGACCATTTTTAAATTAATAGAAAACCACAAGACTGAGAATCAAGGCTAATCTTTAAAGCAAACGAAGATATGAAAAAGTAACTAAAGGAACTTAATACTGATTCAAGTGCTACAGCCCCAAGGAAGACTTTGGAAATCTATCCTATTTAGTGCTAAAAGCAGATACTTCAGATGACTGTGTTATTTAGCACAGGAAAATAAAATATTGTGTTACAACTAATTGTACTTGTTTGAACTTCATGGCTTCTCTAAGCAGACATAGTCTACAGAGGACTTGCTTTAAAATTCTTGATTGCACCTTTAGGAAAATCGTGGCAATCACTTCTCATTCTTGACTGGTACGGAAGATACTTCCAGTAATCAACAGAAGAGTTCAGCACTTACATTTGAAAAGAGCAATGAAGAATTGAGTTATTATTTCAAATATGTATGTATATACATCTGCTGATATGATTTTTTAGAGTTTTACTTGTAACTCAGTGAATGGATCATCTTAGAATTGCAGGAACAAAATTTCAATGGCAGGATGGGATTTTGAAGGACACAAAGTGGTTTACATGCTTCAACATGTATTTTCTCTAACATTTTAATCTCTTTCAGGCTTAGTTGAAGTCTGAATTTCTTGTTTCTCATAGTAGTAGTGACTTTTCTGTTTTTCTGCCATTTAACAACAGCATTCTTAAAAAACCCCTCAACTTTTACGGTTATATTTTATAATATTTGGAACTGCATAGTGGAGCAGATTTGTAACTGGGTATGATTAGCATTAAGATACTTGTTATGTATCAGAGTTTAGCATTACAGGGACTAACAGGATTATTCTGTCCATCTTTCTAGAAATTTTCCTTATTGCACAGTCTCCGTTAGTTTACCCAGCTTAGCTTTGTAGTACCAAGTGACAGAACTTGTATCATTCCTTTTGCGTGCAGCATAATATACATCACTGCCAGGAAGATTTTGCTCTATAACATACACTTTTCCATTCTTAATTTTGTCCCTCTGTTTCTCTGTGATGAACAAAATAGTATCTTTCCTTTCTCAGTGCTTAAGACCTTCAGCTATCTGTAGACTATTATCATGTCTCCCTTTTGTCATCTCTTATCCAAGCTAAACATATTTTAGTTCATTTAATCTTTTCTTATCACTTATAATGTTTAGACACAAGACAGTTTTTCTTGCTCTTCTAAAACGCCCTCCAATTTGTTGATATCTGTCTAGTGACATGATGCCTAGGACAAAATTCTGTTGTAGTGGTGTAATTTTCCCAACACCTGGTTATATGCAATAATCTATTAATTTCCAGCCACAGTACATGATTATTCTACTGATGAAAATTCCTTTGGACTTTCAGGGATTCAAATGACACGTGA